AAAGAATGAAAATCCATTGTACTGTACTCCATAAGTCTTTTCTAATATATCATCCTTGGACAAACTATCAAATAGTGAAGTATTTGGATGAGGTGTTTGGGAGCGGAGCATATTGACAAACTGTTACATATGATAGCTCTGCTCCTTCCTGGTTTAATCTCTTTGTAAATGCTAACAGTGCAGAACAAGCATAAATTTGGCAACAGATGAAACCATATTCTTTGGTGATATCAGGAAGCCACCGTTTGAATGAAAAGGATCAACCAGGCTTGGCAAACACTATATTTTATAGTGGTGCCCAGGAACTTAGGACCTCATCACACTGGGGTGTGGGTGAGCAGGGATTAGGCAGTAGCATCTTTCTTCTGTTATATATCATGGCTTTCTATCTTGAAAGAAGAAAAATTTACTAACCCCCACCACACAAGATGCACCTCTCTCCATTCCTAGTTAAACCATGTGCTTCTTTCAACCACACATCTTTCTTCATTTTTATATATTTTTGTTGTTATTATAACTGTATTTTTATTGATGAAGTAACTGGCTTGACTCTGAAGGATTTGGGGGTGGTGATTGCCAACAGGGAGCTCTGGCATGGGCTGGTCCATGAGGTCACGAAGAGTTGGAAGTGGCTGAATAAACAACATCTTTATTGAAGAGCTTGTCAACATTGGCCCTAAAAACCAAAATGGACTGGAAGTTTCATTGAAACTATGGAACAGCATTTCACTTTGGGTAGAGTGTGGTGAGCATGACTGGCTTCAAAACTGATTGGTGTGCTTTCACTGTCACCTTTTTTTCTGGACCTGGCAACACGGGGAAATACTGTAGAACCTGTTGTTGCCTTCAACCCCATTGCCACAGCACACTGCCTCCGAGCTCTTAGGAGAGATCCTGGCCTTCACCAGCTGTCAGCAAAGGCACCCAAGATCGGTCAGGAGCTCACCTGGAGATCTGAGTCCATCTAGCAGTGGGAAGGTGGACAAGAAAGTTAAAGTAATAGTCCAGAGGGGACACTTCTGAAACAATTAGGAGCATTGCTACTCTGGACTCACCCTGGAATATTCTGTAAGTGTAGATGAGTCCTAAGTCTTCATGATAGTACATTTCTAAACATATACATTAGCCCAGGTTGGCAGGGGGTTAAGGCATCAAATGGTTTCCCTCTTCAGGAGCATTATTTTTCTCCTGTTTGACATAGCAATTTACATCTTTATTGCAATATCCTAAGGGCTCATTTCAGGTTACAAATATTAGTGCATAACAGATAAGCACTAATATGCATTAATTGTGTTATGCACTAATTATGTTATGCACTAATTAGTACATAACAAATAAGCCCCTCCACCCCACCATTAATGCAGAAATGCTGTACTACAAAGAGGCATCTAATGGGTTAGATAACTGGGCATCTAATGGGTTAGAACATCTTAGGCAGAGCAAGGTTTTGACGATTGGAATATTTATTTATTGCATATATTTATATCCCGCCCTTCTCTCCACAAGGGGGACTCAGCGCAGCCTCACATGAGCATCAGAGGATACATAGTTTAGTTGGGACTAAAGTTTGTCCATGTGCATAGTATTTAATCATCTTAAACTGTTTTAACTAGTTATAAGGGATTTTGTATGTTTCAAATGCCAAATATGTCTATGTCTGGTTAAGTTATTGTTCTTGTTTCTGTTCGTATTGGTTTTATTGTATGTCACTTTGAGTTCTTTAGATATAGAGTAAGATAAAAATATAAAAATAATTAAATAATCTCAAAGCAAATGAACAACACTACTAATATTGAACAACTAGATGCCACTACATTTAAGCAGGATATTTTCTTATCTGTGGTTTGTGTTTGGATAGTCCAGTAGAATATATTTAGTTTTGATCTTTGGTGATGTATCATCCCCACATACTAGTTCAACACTTGGTAATTGCAGCATTGCAACATGCATAATGAGCATCATAGGTGTTAGTGATGTGTGTGTGTTGGGGGGGGCTTCTTGAGCATCAGTGCAAAGTGCTGCTGGATGGTGACACTTGACATCTTCAGCCTCAGGTCATTTAAGACATGTATGCATATTAGAAAAGGTGATTCCCTCCACCCCATTCTCATTGTTCTCTTCTATCCACTAGCCAAATTAGTTGATGTTCTAATGGTTAACCTTCTTAAGAATTTTGGCTTAGAAAGTATTTGAAATGTTGAATAGTTAATTAGAGAAAATGACATAGGGGAAAAATATTGAAATTGAGGAACATTTCAAAAAAGCCCTCCCAATGGGAAGTAATACTTGGAAAGATTTATGATTTGACACATCTTGCTCTTGTGCTTCAAATCACATTATTTCAATCTCATCAGATGTGACATATAATTTGACTGTATAAGCTACTGTGACACAATGCATAATGCCTGGTCAAATATTGAAATGAGGAAAGGAGTTTTCAAATCCATGCTTAATGCAGCATTATATTGTTTTGATAAGGATTTTCCATCTTCTTTTTTTGGAAAAAAAGGTGGGTGGGTGAATTTTGTTTTCCTCTCTGCATTCATCTTCTGTCTTCCAGCACAGTCATAGAGTCTGTCTTCTTTTATGTAGTAATTAAGCTTGCAGTAAGTCCTGTATGAACAAGGTTCAGTTGATGGTTCATTTTGCCCGCTTGTCCAGTCAACATCAGATGAGGTGAAGAGGCAAAATGTAAACCTGAGTCCTTATTGCCCCATAAGAGTGTTCCTTTGGATAGATCCTTTAAAGATAACCTCAGCCTGGAATGGATTCACTGCCCCCTGACCTGAAAGCAACCAGAAAATGGATATTGTGTATTTAAATTTCATATTGAAATAAATGATAGACACGTGTACTATAACCTAATACCTAATTCTACTTCCACATTGTGAAGACCAACTAAATCAAAGAGATTTAAACTACTGCTGAGTTATTCAGTACTTCAGTGATATATAGACTGGTTATCACTAGCAATTGAATTTAGACCTATGTGTGTTTGAGAAGAAAGTCTTAGAAACACAAGCCGAGTGTGTGTAGCTCATTCCAAACAGGGAGGAATCAAGTTTAAATTGGAAGTTTACATTTTTAATTTCTATAGAATTTATTTTCATTATTACTCTGAATCTAGCTGATACATAGGTTTACTACTTCAGTGACACCTAGACTTGTATTCTTACCTTACTGTGGTCTAGCCACATTATGGTGGGCATTTTGCTATTGATAATTGGGTTTTGTTGAAATGTGTATTTCTTCTGTTACAAGACACATTTTAAAAAGTTTTAAAGTTAAATAAACATTCTCTTGCAAGATTTAATACTTCAGGCTTTTCCTAAGAGAATGCCACACTGGCATACTTCTACTCTGGGTTGAACCTAAGCTGTTTTTCCACTGATCATGTACCCTGATTCTAATTTCTTGACCTCTACAATCTTGTAGACCGCCCCGCCCCCCAAATCTGAATACAAAGGTATCTCTTAGTTTTCCTCCTTCTCATTCTAATTTTCTAACTGGAGTAAATGCAAAACATGTGCCTAACAAGCGTAGGAGAAGATTAATTTTCTGTGTACTATTCATAAGTTTTACACTTTTTAATACTTCTGTTTACTTGTTAATATAATAAATGCTAAACACGGAACTACAAAATAAATGTTCCACATTGTGACACAAACTGCATTTTACTGTGTCTAAAAATCAATGTTGGCATTCTAAAAATTGCACATGTAGGTCACACACGTAAGGGTAATGTGTTCCATTAGCAGCTGCTGTGTTCATCTCAAATTGCTTATTTAGACAAGTCTGTTCACAGATGACAATTTCAGCAAATATAGCTTTTTCTAGAAAATCTGTAAAGAAGTAAATGACAAGTAACTGATAACATTTCTGTGGTTTTTTTTTTTTAAATCTTGTTTGGTAAACCAATAAACTACTGAAATGCAATTGGCTTTAATTGGACTTAAGAAGAATAAGGGATATTTAAATGATCTCAGATGTATAGTATGAATAAAATTACCTTCATATTATGTGTATAGTGTGTATATGAAATGTAAAATGAATTTTGAGTTTAGACTTGGGTCCCATTTTCAAGATGTTATTATGCATATGCATATTCTGAAATCCAACACACTTCTAGTTCGAAGCATTTTGGATAAGAGATATTCAACCTGTAATATGATTGTAAAAATTCCTCATTATTGTAATTGATTTTGTTTGAGACATGCTCTCTTGACAGACAAAAAAATTCATGATATCCTTGTTATAATGATAAACATTATGGAGAAGAAAAATATGCCAGTTACTGATTATGGCAACCACCGGTATCATGATGTACTGGGGGTTGCCATAATCAATAATTTCATATCATAATATGAAAGGTTCACAAGGGGCAAAAAGAACTGAATAGAGTGGGGATAGATTTTTCATGGGCCATTTATAATTAAAACTCTTGACATCTAGTTATAGCAGCCTTGGGACCCCCATCACATTAACCAGATCATAGCGAATCTGGCAGTGCCTGTCAGAGGGAACACGTCACCCCACACCCCACATGGCTTGACTTACCCCATCCCACAGGAGGACGTGTCCATGGTCAGGCTTCCTCCCCATTGTTGCCAATGCAACATGGAAAACCTCCTGTGTTACTGCATCATCGTTTGCCGGTTCCTCTTCATTTTTGCCATGGAACCCCATCAGAAGTAGATGTATGTCATGGGATGGGAGCTGGTGGGCTCTGTGGGAAAAGTGAAAAGTCAACCACCGAATTTGGTTGTTGGTGCAATACAAACAAACTTTATGGGAATAAGAAGACAGGATTTGCTGGTTCAAGAGGATTTTAGCATGGGGCGAATGCTGCTATGTATATTTTGCCTAAGATCATCCATTGGGTTTCTATGGCCAAGTGTTTTCTGAAACTACTACACCACAAAGGCTTTTCACCAACCCAGGCTCTAGTCTTCAAATATTTATTGTTTTTGTGCTAACAAAGGCATTTGTTTTTTTTAAAGATCCAACATAAGGCCACATTATTCTGAAACAAGTAGCCATGACTTCAAAATGCATACCTTCACTCGCGTCACGTCCTGCAAAGTCTGTCAGATGCTTCTGAGGTAAGTTTGAAATGGGCTGAATAGTAAGAATGACTCCAAAATCTGGAAGAACCATTATATTGCACATTTAAAAATGTCTGTTTGGGTATCCTATTTTAAAACTAGCAGGATGAGAGATTCAAATGTAGTTACAGTGTCTGAACCACATGTTTGGTAAGAGATGTGGAATTGTCAAGTTCAGAGACTGTGTCCCTCTGTGGTTTTGTACCAGTTGATCGTGAAGTGGAATTAGAATCTCAGCAAAAGAAAAGGTGTCCAGGTCAAAGAGTTGCAACAGAAAACCTCTGCTTCCATCTTGTCTACCCAAATATCTCCTCTTCATCTCTGTTTTTCACATGGTTGACAATTATTTGTTGCAAAGTGGATAGTTCTGCCATAGGATAGATTACATTAATCTAGCTATGGCCTATGAAAGAAATTCAGTTTGTGAAACATTATTATTATTATTATTATTATTATTATTATTATTATTATGTTTATTTACATCCCACTTTTGCTCTCCATAAAGAGACTGAAAACAGTGAACTTTAAGAACATTACAATACAATTTAAATTTTACAAATATACAAATACTGAAAACGTATTAAATATCATTAATATTAAAAATAATTCAGCTATATTTTAATAGCTCCTGGCATTCCTCCCATGTTTTAATACAGATAAGATATCCCATATAAGAGGATTTGCGTCTGCAAAGAACCGTCCGGCTGAGCTGTTCCGAATTGTCAGAGGCCTTTTAAATCCCACCACTCAAGGTGGGAACCCTGACGATTCGACTTCTCGCTGTGAAGCTTTTGCTCAGTTCTTTACAGACAAAGTCGCTTTGATCCGTTCTGGTCTGGATACCATGTTAATGGCAGTCTCTGAGGATGTAACACGAGCACCTGCTTGTCCAGTTTTGATGGATTCATTTCAATTGGTGAAACCCGAGGATGTGGACAAGATACTTGGAGGAATGAGGCCAACCACATGCATCCTGGACCCCTGCCCATCCTGGCTTCTAAAGGAGGCCAGAGGGGGATTGGCTGAGTGGGTTAAGGTGGTGGTTAATGCTTCCCTTCGGGAAGGCAAGATTCCAGCGAGCTTAAAACAAGCTATAATAAAACCGCTGTTGAAGAAACCATCACTGGACCCCACTAAATTCGACAACTATCGGCCAGTTTCCAATCTCCCCTTCTTGGGCAAAGTCTTGGAACGTGTGGTGGCCTCACAACTCCAGGTATTCTTGGTAGACATGGATTATCTAGACCCGGCACAGTCTGGCTTTAGGCCGGGACATGGTACCGAGACAGCCTTGGTCGCCTTAGTGGATGATCTGCGCCGGGAGATCGACAGGGGGAGTGTGTCCCTGTTGGTGCTGCTGGACCTCTCAGCGGCCTTCGATACCGTCGACCACGGTATCCTTCTGGGACGCCTCGCAGGGATGGGTCTTGGTTGGAGGTACTGTTTTGCAGTGGCTCCGGTCATTCCTGGAGGGTCGATCTCAGAAGGTGTTGTTGGGGGACACCTGTTCAACCCCACAACCATTGTCTTGTGGGGTTCCTCCGGGCTCAATATTGTCTCCCATGTTGTTTAACATCTACATGAAGCCGCTGGGGGAGATCATCCGGAGTTTCAGGGTACGGTGTCATCTGTACGCGGATGATGTCCAACTCTGTCACTCCTTTCCACCTGCTACTAAGGAGGCTGTCCAGGTCCTGAACCCGTGCTTGGCCGCTGTGACGGTCTGGATGAGGGCGAACAAATTGAAATTGAATCCAGACAAGACAGAGGTACTCCTGGTCAGTCGCAAGGCCGAACAGGGCATAGGGTTACAGCCTGTGTTGGATGGGGCCGCACTCCCCCTGAAGACGCAGGTTCGCAGCTTGGGTGTGACCCTGGACTCATCGCTGAGCCTGGAACCCCAGGTTTCGGCGGTGACCAGGGGAGCATTTGCACAGCTAAAGCTTGTGCGCCAGCTGCGCCCGTACCTTGGGAAGTCTGACTTGGCCACGGTAGTCCACGCTCTGGTTACATCCCGTTTAGACTACTGCAACGCTCTCTACGTGGGGTTGCCTTTAAAGACAGCTCGGAAGCTCCAACTAGTCCAACGCTCGGCAGCCATGATTTTAACAGGAGCGGAGCGCAGGGAGCATACAACCGCCCTGTTGCGCCAACTCCACTGGCTACCGATCTGCTACCGGGCTGAATTCAAAGTGCTGGCGTTAGCCCTAAACGGTTCCGGCCCAAGCTACCTATCTGACCGCATCTCTGCCTATGAACCCACCAGGACTTTGAGATCTTCCGGGGAGACCCTGCTCTCGATCCCGCCTGCTTCTCAAGCTCGGCTGGCGGGGACGAGAGATAGGGCCTTCTCGGTGGTGGCTCCTCGGCTGTGGAACGCCCTTCCTAAGGACATTAGACTAGCACCATCTCTAATGGTATTCCGCAAAAAGGTGAAGACCTGGATGTTTGTGCAGGCGTTTGAGTAATTTAGTATAATCTGGTAATGGAACATAGGAATGGAACAATGGACGACGAATCTGGACTACGCTTGGATGATGAGAAGATTGGGTACGGTTGTTTTTTGTAATAATTGTGCATTGTAATTGCTTATTGGTAATTTATGGATAATGTGTTAAGTCAATTGTTATATGTTGTATGGAACCACTGCTGTTTCTACTGTTTCTACTGTTTGTGAACCGCTGTGAGTCGCCTTCGGGCTTGAGATACAGCGGTATATAAGCAAAGTAAATAAATAAATAAATAAATATAATTAAAAAAAAATGTTATTTAGAAAATAAAGGTTTTATAAAACTTTAAGAAATATAGTGATGGGTGTAGCTATTCTCACTGAGATTGATACCCAAACAAGTGATATGAGTTGTATGATCACAAAAGTCTGTGAATTATTGTGACTTGTTTTGAACTGTTAAAGAGTCAAGTCATTCTTGAGCTTCAGGAATGGCTTGTTCTACTTAGAATGGATGGTAATAAATTATAACTCAGTTTTCAGAGCATGAATAACTTAGTGGGATCCAAATATTTGTTTCCCTTTGCTTTTTTTCAGTTTCTGCATTTAAAAGGTTTTACATGGCATTATTGGAGTTAATATTTTGACAGTTGGTTTACTATAGTCAGCCACAGTCTTTCTTTGCAGCCTGTTTGCTCCCTAAGACATCCAAAAGAAATTCCTCTCTTGTGAATTGTATTAAGATGAGAATGCAGAGAATCTTCTGTGAATGCGAGGTGATTGGAAGGTTAACTTTCCATGATAAGATTTCTGTTGGTTAAAGGCAATACAAATGAAAAGCCATTGAACTTCATTCCTTGAACAATTTGAGCCAGCATGTGGCTATTACTGAATGTGATACTCAGTTGGATATCCCCCCCAAACATTGAGAAGCCTTTATTGTTAATGAGCCATACAGTTATTTTTGCCTCGTGTAAACTCTTTCTTATTTCTTCTTTTCCCCTGAAAGATTTATTGCACTTTATACAATGCATTTATATTGTAATATGTTCAGTTGCTGAAAGTAGTTCAGAAATTTGATAACCAGAGCTGAGTGTTTGGGAACTAATATCAGACCTGGCCCTGCAGTTACGGCATGGTGAAGCATGCATCTCAGACAGCAGGACTCAACAAGAAGTGAATTGAGCTGTTTCTATTCTTCTGCACCACTAGACTCATTCTCTGTCTTTCTTGTACCTCACAATACTGCCATGCCTTTCTTTCCTTAATAAAGGAGCAGAGTGATATACCTTGAATAATCCATGTGGATATTCATGCTTCATACATCGACATGTATCATTGTTTTCATTGCACATGGGCACCTTTCTGACTTGGAGAGAGGAGGAGGACTGCTCCCCTTCTTTCCCCCTTGATACTTTGTTGTACAAAAATGTTGATCCTCTAATTTTCCCATTATCAAATGTATTTTACAGGGGGACATTCTATCAAGGCTATTTATGTTCAAAATGTGGAGCTGGAGTTCACAAAGAATGCCTGGGAAGACTAGAGCATTGTGGCAGGGCTAATTTTGGTGGTAAGTCACATTTATTGTTTGGGATACCATTTTTAATTAGGCTATGAACATTTGCCAGATAGAATTAAGGCTAAATTTCTCTCCAATTTGTGTTTATTGTGTCACCAATACTATTACAGAGGTCATTTTTAAGCATAATTATATCCAAATGTTGAAGTCATCGTGACTTTTACAAATTTGTTGCAACATAAAATTGTGGAGGAAATCCAAAGAACAGCATTAATAGTTCTTCACACTTGAAGGAACTTACCTTTTTTTAGTTTTCTGTTTGCTGAAAAGCAATTTTCTTCCCAATTTTTCATACCTCATTTTTTTTCATATCAGGAGTGACTTGAGAAACTGCAAGTCACTTTTGGTGTGAGAGAATTGACCGTTTTCAAGGGTTGTTGCCTACGGGACACCTGGATGTTTGATGTTTTACCATCCTTGTGAAAGGCTTCTCACATGTCCCTGCATGGGGAGCTAGAGCTAACAAAGGCAGCTCAACCCCCTCTCCCCGGATTCGAACCGCTGACCTATCAGTCAGCAGTTCTGCTGGCACAAGGGTTTAACCCATTGTGCCACCGGGGGCTCCTTCATACCTTATAGTAAAAGGCTTCTGAAACTCTTAAGATATACTAAATGTCCTAGTTCAAAGATACCATAGTCAAAAATTTCAATAGGCATGCTTAAACTCTTTGAGTTTGTGAATATAGGAAATGAAGGTGTCAGTAGTTATTAGTCAAGACAGTACACCAGAATGCCAGTTAAAGTGTTGTATAAGAAATAACATATTAATTGTTTGGGCAGTAGATTCATATTAGTAAAACAAGAAGAACAGAGATGAAATTTCAGAATAAGAAATAAACCACAGAGGAAATTAAAAATTAGAAATTCATGACTTTAATGTATTGTCTAGTCTGGGAAATAAAATACCATAATTTATTCCATATCTGAGTTTTGAGATGGCTGTCAACACAGGACCTTGTCATCACTTTCCCTTAAAAGGATATTGCCTTTGGATGAGTTGTTGAATGATGCATAGGCTACCCAGTATGTAAACACTTGTACTTTGGGATAGTGAGGCTGTTTCCATATCCAATGTGGTTCCCCTCTCTACAGAAAAAGCCAGCAGTCTGAACTAAACAAAATATGAGCTCTACCTCTTCCAGTGGGTAATAATAGAAATATTCTCCTTACATCCTTGAGGTCCAAGTAAACATTGGTCTTTATGTGTTCATCCATAAAACAAGCACACACATATTTTTTACAACTAGGTTTGCCACCTTAACTTTTCCAGATCTCAAATTGTGAACTGAAACCTGCAACAATCTCAAATCCTAGAGCCCATCCATATTAAAAAAAAATATAATGTTATGATTCCACATTAACTGCAGTGGTTCCATCCTATGGAAACATGGCATTTGAACTTTAGAGATGGGTTTTTGGATTCTCAACCAGAGGATTTAAGTGCCTCATCAAACTACAAACCCTAGGATTCCATAAAATGCTGCCATGGCAATTGAAATGAAATTACAGTGCAGTGAATCACTTCATGTGATGTACTCCTGTTTATAGGTCTGCTTTTTAAGTTCTGGTGTGTTTTTACAGTACAAACCAACTAACTGTGGTCAGTACTCATTTATTTTCGTAGACCTAGTTATAAAGGTAAACCATAGCTTAGTAAACTGAGCTCTACTAGCTGGATGAATGTATAGAGAGATAGCCATGCTTTGTTAATCATCTAGCCACCATCTATTTTGCAAAATGAATTCAAGTCATTTATTCAGATTCTGTTTTGCAATAAATCCTTAAACATTAATTAGACTGTTCTATAATTTGTGACCTTTCAGATGAATCATAGCTTCTGTATTCTACATCATTGGGCTATATTGAGTAGGGGTGTTGGATTTTGTAAACCAACACAGGCAAAAAATGGGGACACAATCCATGCATAAATTCAAAGTAAATACTGGATAACCACAAGTTGTCTATTCTTGATTGAAATTAATGTTTCAAAGGTGTAGTATTATTTGGAGATGTTTTGGGACTTTAATTCTTACCCAGATTGTACGAGAGACTTGGAAATAGCCATATTTTCCACAGAGGAAGTGAAAAGGGGAAAAAAAAGAGAAGGAACCAATGCATTCATGTTCATGATTAGGTCATTTTAAACAGCACAGCATTTCTAATTTTAGAAAATCAGGCCAGGGGTTTAAAAGAAAAACTAAAAAAGAACACCCTACATCTTTGATGTTATAAAATGATAATATATTCAATTCATTAATCCATGAAGTTGTCTGTGTGTGATCTCTGCCTCTAGCAGTTGAACAGAAATGGCTTAATTATGATATCCTCAAAAGGATATGGGAAGAATCTGCTAACATATAATAGGGTGACTGAACCCAAAGAGGGACTGGGTGCCTGTTCTTTTTAATAATTGTGCAGAAACGAATTTCTGAATATATGACTTGTCATCCGGTCTAAGACAAGCTACACATCGCCTAACGGTATAGGAACTTTAACTTATTATTGTCCCCTCATCACACTGTTTCTTAATTAACTCTTCAGCTTGGTTAGCATTTTTGATCTGCAGTATTATCCAATGGCCAGGCATTTCTAACAACCTGAAGATGAGCTTTAAAGAGCATCCTGCTGTTTGTGTTGCACTACATTAGAAAATCTATTCATAATCCATTTAAAATGAAGCTCTGTGGTAGCTGGCTATTATTAGAAATGGAGTGCTTCAGTTTTCTCTGAGGCAAAATGCTGGACTAAAAAAAAAACACCTGGGAACTTTCCTGGAAATCAATAGAGTCAGCATGTTCACTGCATTATTTCTTATGACAAATGTTATGACTTGATAGTCATTTTATGATAAGCTATTCAAACAAACTGGAGGGCTGGCCCACCCATGACATGGAAAATATGAAATGTTGAGTATTTGTTTTTATAAAATGCCATGTTGAACTTTGTACATAGGAGTGTCCAGATTGCTCACAATTACTTTTTATATTCTTCCCTAACCCTTTCTTTCATTTATGCCTAATAGTAGTAGGCTAGCATGGCCCATAGTCTTTCAAGAAGAAAGTAGCTAGAGATTTGGGTCCATTTCCCAAAGATGCGGTCTGCAGATTAATTTCCCCTTTGAACACAGCAGGACTTCCTCTTGCCTAACCATTAACAGGACTGGCTTTTTCTGTTGCATTTTCCAGAATTTGTCTATTTACATTTTAGAGGCAAAAATGGGGACATACTCCATGCAAATTTGCACATAGTAACATTTTCTGCACACAGAACAATTGCTCTGCAAAAAAAATGTTTCTGTGCAAAACAACCATAAGTGAATTTTGTACATGTCTTAAATTACTATCCATGAAAACTACAGTTTTTGAAGACATCTTCACCATGAGAAGAAAATTGCTCAAATATCTCATTGCTTCCTTTGTGAAGAATATATTTTTTAATAATTATTGAACACTAGACTACAAGTACTTGTTTTTATGAAGTGTCTTCATGTTGATTCCAATTTATGGAGACTGTATAATTCAGTTTACCTGGCAGTATATATTCAAAGAACATTTGGAATTGCCTTCCTCTTAGATAGAGCTTGACTCGCCCAGTACTTTTCTGTAGCTAAGAGGGAATTTTAACCTTTATTTCTTGGAGACGGGGTGCTTCCAGATAGCGCCAAAATCCATGTTTCAGGACTGAGTAAAAAAATCCTGGGACCTGACAGCAGGTCCACACACAGACCTGTAAGTCCTGGGACATGGTCCCCTACGCTCTTCACAGCCTTCATCTGTAGCAGATCAAAATGTAGGGAGGATGGGGGACATCTAGCATAAGTTTTTTTTAACCACTCCATTATGCGCTGGACCATATATCCGCACATGTAAATATTTTAATATAAGCACAAACAGATTTGCATTTGTGCATAAGAGGTGTAACGCATAACAGAGTGATTTTTTAAAAACTTCCATTTGACAGCCTGATCAGATGATTAGTTGTTTCTGGCTTTAAAAACACACACTTTGGGCTGGAGCAGTCTACACAGGGGGAGGGAAGGAAAGCACGTCATTTACATGACTGCAGGGATATACAGTCATGCAAAGGTGGACTTTTTTCAGGATTAATGGGTTTTAAGTACACCTTTTAAACATATACTTTTAACCTCTTAACCTAATTCCTCTTGCACTTTGACTAAATGTCTTTTAGCCCTCCCCCTCCACCTTTAACCTGTTTACTTCTACTTTTTTGCAACGTGTGTAGAAGGGCCCTTTATGCAACAACAACAACAAAATTAAAAGCTAAACCTCTCTATGCAGAAGCACAAATGGACACTATAAAATCAAACTTTAATTTAATCTTCTGTGTTCTGAATATAGAAGTATTAAAAAACATATAATCATGCTGAAATTGTAGCCGATTCACCTCTGTGTGACTTGTGTTTGGCTTCTTACCATTTGAATACACAATCAAAAGTTATCAATTGATGTGAGTGAATTAAACCAGGGTCAAGATACAAAGAGCTTTTTCTGTACAAAAGCTTTTCCTTCCTCTTTTATGGCACAATCTGGTTTTGTAACTCAGAGAACCTTTAACTCCAAATATATTGTTTTATTCCTCATTATTTGCATTTATTTCCCCTCTTCCATCAAATGAGCTCGGGGGGGGGGGGGTACCTGTTCCTCCTGCATTCCACTTGATGCTTACAATGCATTTCAAAAGTAGGTCAAGCTAAGAGAGACAGGGTGACCAAAGGTCATCTGCTTTTATGGATCAGTGAGGACTGGTACTTAAACATTCTATGTTGCAATTCTGTACTGTATCCACTTCAGTTGCGTTAGCTCTTCCTTCAAGGTACAGAACAATTTGTGCTGTTCTTTGGACCAAGGCTATTGACTCTGATGTAATGTGAAGCACTGTAAACATTCTGTCTGTGGCATAGGACCTATGATGGCCAATTCACAATTACAAATCACTATTGTGAAAATGTGAACAAGCACTAGCTGAGTCTTTTTTGCATTTAAACAAATGCTACAGCACTTTATATTATAATATATATCTTCCATATCTGAAAGGCATATAAAAATGTATAAATCAGAAACCACACCAGAATGCAGAATCTACATAGATTTTTTGGTGCTCTAACCTAACACTTTCCAGATATATTTTGCAGAAGAGAAACTATCATCTTAGCTATTGTACACTAGATTTAAATTGCAATGCAAATTTAAACACTTTCTAGGTTTTGCCTTTCTGGAGTCTCACTGACTTCACACTGTTTCAGAAAGTTTAGGATTCAAAATATTTTGCATGTAGCTTTATAAATGGATGATTGGAAACTATATACCACAGAGGTAAGCAGAAACCTGAAGTTTCTTATAGCTGTTCTGCTCCTCAACTTGAGCCAATAAAATTAAGAGAACATAGTTTGCAAAACAACTAGCTGAGCCCCAGGCTATTGGAGCATAAAACAGGTATCAGCTAGCAAAACAAAGCAGTTCCGTGTACTCTCACCATATCAGGCTTACTGTTGAACGGAGCGATTGTTCAATCACTAACCATGCCAACTTTTACATTTGTTCCAGAACACGGGACCCTGAAGCATGAGGTAAGTGTACCTTTTTTGAGACTTAATTTCAGATCTGATTCAAAATGACTATTCTTGAGACTTTGTGGTATCTGTTAGTACAATGGAGACAGTACCCTTTCTTTTAGCAGTCATTGCTGTGATCTGTGAAGCCGTTCATGCTTTCATGCTTGAATTTCTTTGACAAACAAGGATTACAAAGGGAAAGAAGAGGCAGAATATTCAACACTTTTAAGTCCCATTGATTTCTGTAAGGAGGAAATTAAATCTAGCACCCATAGCTTACACATCAAAAGCAATGAGGCTTAAATGGGCTAAATTGGATCATGTTCCCATTTTAAAATAAATTCCAGGAGATTATTATAGTTTTCTTCAAATTTCATAGCTGGTAAAGCCATAAGCAGGAAAATGTACAGAGAAATTAAGCAAATTACTTCTTAAATTCACGTTTATGGGCTAACCCATGATTCAGCGGAGGAATTACTTTTTGTCTAAATGTTTTTAACTGGATCAGATGAGCAAGACTCTATATGAATAGAGTCCAGCAGTTCTTAATATGGGTGCTGAGTTAGGACAGTCCACTGCCAAATGTTGATTTAAGAAGCTGAGTCTTTTTCATAGCCCTTAACATAGTGTCTGGATGGTAACATTAAATGGGCACTTTTTCAGTGAGATGGTGTGAGTCTCAGGACATTATCTTGACAGAGTGATAGAAAGCAAATCAAGGTTACATTTGCTGGCTTCAGCCTCTAATATCCTTTTATATTGTACTGAAAAAGTTGCATTAAAAGAAAGGGATATTTGCACTGCATTAGTTAATTGTCTATTATTTCATGTCCCGCAGCACTAACAAGTTTTGGAATATCCTTCATGTATATTAGGAACCTTAGAGTTTGGTTGAAAGCATGTCTTCCCCCTTTGCAGCAATATTTTGCAATATATTTTGAAGTTAAATGGTAACGCAGGGAATTGTTTTGAACTGGCAATATATATACACACACACACACATACACATACTTGTGTATACATTGACTTCATGTATAAATTGAGGTCAGGTTTTGGGATTTTGATATGGCTAGCCATCTCCGACCATTTCCACTGCCATTTTTCCATCAAGAGATTTAAAAAATCAATCACCATGACAGAGAGAATAAAAGGCTGGTTGGGTCAGTGCTCCTTTTAAATTCTCCCAAGACTGATGTCTTGCCTTTTACCACTCTACTCAGAGAAGGGATGGTTCCTTTGTTACATATATAAGTTAAGGTACAGTACATTGCCTTGTGGACACATTTCTCCGGTTCGATTATTTGACTAAGATTTCCAGTCTTATATGTGAGTATATACAGTAATGACTGGGCACCAAGAGACAGTTTGCAGAAATGTTTAACTAGAAAAACTCTTTTCTTTTTTCAAAAATACAGTTTTTTTATTTTGCACAGTATTATCTGTCCTCTGTAAAGCAGTGTGACACATTTAGACAGATAGTGCCATTGGCACAGAAGATAGAAAAAGTACAATGTTCTGCAAAAAAAAAAAAGTGAAAATTTCATGGTGGTGACATACAAAGGTTGACTGCTTTCGGGAGTTCCTACATCTTAGATAGCTCTTGTGCAAAATAACCAGTTAATCATTAATAAACTATAAAAATCACAAATGCATGAGTCATTTTCTATTGTAGCAATGATTTCTTCATCCATGTGATACTTTGATTACTGAGATTCAGGAAACTTTTGTATTAATGTGTTACAGACTGTTTCCTGTTCAAAAGTATATTTGTTTAGAAAATTAGTTTAAAAACCTAGATGATTTATCTACAGCAGGGGTGAGAATTATGCTGCTCTCCTGACATTAGGTTGCAGCTTCTAGCATTCCTCAGTATAAGCTAAGCTGGCCTGCACAGCTGGGAATTCTAGTCCAACTATATCTGCTCTACAGTTTCAAAATATATAGTTCCATCCGTGCTGTACAATCTAAGAATACACAATGGACTGTAGGTATCCATTAGGGTTTGGTTCTAGGATTCCTCCCCTCCAGATACCAAAAACAAATTGGATGTTCAAATTTCATTATATATAGTGGTGTAATTGGAATGGTGTCCCTTATTGACAATGGCAAAATCAAGGTTTGGTGTCTAGATTTTTTTTGAGGGGAGGGAGTATGTTTCCAAACTGTTAATGGTTGAATCCACATAGGGTGAAGTGTATAGGTATAAGATGATTGCTTCTTAGGGGATTATATAACTTCATAAGTAGAGCTCCAAGAAGCTGAGAAAAATTTACTGCCTACATTTGATTTGCGTATGACATTTCTTATAATTGATAATGTGAATCTGAAACTCTTGGATATTCCCCTTTGAAAAGCATGAGTCATCTTTCCCCTGGAAAATGCGCACAAACATGTACACACAACATTTCAGTTTGGTTTTTTTGGCACTGGAAACAACATAAAGTGGAAATGGTAATTACTGCACAAATGATGAAAATACTGAATGGCATTGCACATTCCCATTATGTAGAATAGCATTCCATGACCGCCTATGCTTCTTTGGAGTAAAATAATACAGTAATGCAGTATGAACATCCTTATCTGGAAGACTGAAATCCCAGATGCTCCAAAATCCAAAATTGTCCGCACGAGTGGCTGAAATTGTGACAGTTTTCTATTCTGATGGCTCAGTGTACACAAAACATGTTTCATGTACAAAAAGTATTAAAATATTATGAATAAAATACCTTCTGGTTATGTGTATAAGGTATATTTGAAAAATAAAGGTCTTTTGTGTTTAGACTTTCAAATACAGGCATTTAACCACCCCAATCAATTCCAAAATCCTCAGCACTTCTTCTCCCAATCATTTTGAACACATGACAATTAACCTGTAACATTATTAAATTTTAAGTTTTCCCACCCAACAAATACAGTTGTCAAACAATTGAAAAGAAAGTAAAAAGATTTTTTTTAAAAAATCCCTACTTTGCTGTCTACCTGAAAACCTGTCTTTGGACTCTTTGGGTCCATAGATCAAAGGAAGTACCTGTTTTTTTAAATAATATTTTATCTCTATAGCTGTTCATGGAAGAGGCTTGGCTACTGTTACTTTTGACATGATGCAGGATGATCTTGCCAACCTCAGGTACTGAAATTTGGGACAGAAAATTGTTACTTTTAAAAATCTACGTTTTATTGTCATTTTAAGGAGTTCAGAATATCAGCTTTACATTTTGATAGGATAGGTATGATAAAAAGAAAAGTTACAATATCTAACCTCCTTCCCATAGAGGCTGCCATTTGAGACTCCACTATCTTGGGTGATCTCTGAACCCGGATAGTCGCCAAACCCTAATATTCCATATTATCTTATTGCAATTTTTAAGAGATCACTTTCAGCCACTCAAGTTTTCAAAGAGGTTTTTGAAATGCACAAATTATATTCTGCCTGGTAGATTGAGGTTCTGTTGACGGTCCTCATAGTGCTTTTAATGTAAACAAATCATATTGCAACTGCAGTTCAATATTATACTACTAAGATTAAGACAGAATTCTGTGTGATAATAAGATTCAGAATTATATCTATCTACACCCTGTCTATCTCATATATACAGCAGGTCTGCTGTATCTTTGGGGTATGGTTCTGGGAAGCACTGCAGAAATGAAAAAAATGTGAGTGATCATGACCCATATTATACAGTGATGATGATGTGGACACATACACATCACTCATATATATAATAATATTTACAAAGGAGAGGAAACTGATATGATGATGATGGTGATGGTGACAATAACTGCAACAGTCTGAAGTTGCTGGAAACACAGTAGATCCAAAGAGCCCACTGTATATATATTGCATGCTATCTATAACCATAAAAATGTAATGTTAGTTTGTGGGATTAACATAAATAAAAAACCACTGGACGAATTGACACCAAATTTGGACACAAGACACCTATCAGACCAACAAGTGACCAACACTCATAAAACACTGAAAAACACAGTGGAAGGGACTTTAAAAGCCAAAAAATAAAAAATACATTACAACGAATGCACAAAACCACATATACATATGCAAATATACATATATATACACACAAAACACATATACACAGACTGGGCCATAGCAACATGTGGCAGGAGATGGCTAGTGTGATATAAGTTTTGAAAGCCAGAAAAATGTGAACAGAAACATGTACATACAGAGTCTTATGTCTCATAACATGTAAAATAGCAAGGACCCTCTTTTTTGGAATTGCTGTCAATTTCTTCCATTTTTCCCAAGAAACGTAAGTGGTATGCAGGAATTACTTTTTATTGTGATACCATTTGCACAAATTTCCTATGTTTTTCTATGTCTCTTGCTGTAAAATTTACAACGCAAATAAGAACCAGACGTTCCTTTTAAGGGATGAAATAGCTTTAGCTGCATGCAGATTAAAAGCTTGAACAATTTTTAGTGTAATCAAACATGGAAGTAACTACCTGAGTGTTATATTCTCCCTTTTCTCCTTAGAAATAGCCAAGAGGCCTGTCAAAACTAGTTGTGAGCTGGCATTTTACTTTCCTATTCTGCAGGATATCTCCACCTGGGCAGTTCATTGTTATATGTGCCGTGCTCAGTCAAAACAAAACAGTTTCCTCACATGCTTTTTCTGATGCCAACTCTTGATCTTTACTGTTTAAACAAAGTGATGCCAGAGTGACCTTTTGTTGATGAGAAACCCCTCTGTGAGATGAAAAAATTAGGTCTTTGCATGTGGTGAACTTAGAATGTAATTGCTATTCTATGATTTTACACATATCAAAACATTATCTATATTTAATCTTGGAAATATAGTTAAGAAGCAAGGGGTTTTTGCAGCATCTAGAAAGCCAGGCTTTCCTTGCCAGGTAGCTGGGTTATGTGGCCGGCTTCAGGCACTGCCAGGGTTCGGTGATTATATGTAGGCAGAAGTTTGTGTCAAGGGGTTGCAACAAGGCTCTCCAGAACTGAGGAGATATGTAGCACCATTTGGACTTTGCTTGAGGCAGCAACATGCTTTAAGCATGGACCATTAAAGGAGTGACAGTTAAACGAGTGAATTTTGACAGTCTGCTCTCCAAAGTGAGCTGGTAGAAGCACAATCATGTTTGCAAGTGTGTCATAATTGGACAAGAGAGGGATTTGAATCTAGTCTGCTAATGTGTTCTTTTTCCAATACACAGAAACGACCGAATGGACTTCGAAAGAGCTCCAGGCACATGGATCCAGGTTTGTTTCACCCTTATTCATTATTGTATTTTTTGAACTTCTACAGGACAATAACAGGTTGGACTTCCATGACTAAATTTTTATTTACACCACTTATTTCATATGGGAAATTGGAACACCTTAGTACTGCCAGTCCAAAAATCTAACTTGCAAGCCATCTAAGTGACAATACATGGATGAGAGTTGGCTTGCCTTTTGAGTGAAAAATCTGCTATCCTGTGATGCCACAGACAAAATAATAACTTTATTTTTATACCCCACCAACCATCTCCTCAAGGGGACTCGGGGTGGCTTACAAGGGACAAGCCCAAAATTACAAGTAAAACACAATTGATAAAACATCAGATAAAATATAAAAACAACAAAGTAATAAACAACATCAGAACATTAAGGCTGAGAAAAGAATATAGCTGAGATACAGACTCGCTGAGTGCAATACATTCTGAATGGGAGCGCAAGGAAAGTGCAACAATCAAGTAGACAGGGCTGTCATCCAAAGTGTTGAGGTAGACAGTAGGAGGGCCGATGTAAAGTGCTGAACTTAGAGTAGGGACAGGAAAATTAATGGTGAAGTGCTTAATCAAAAGCACACCGGAACATCCAGGTTTTTAGTTGTTTCCAGAAAGAGGACAAAGTGGAAGCCTGTCTGATCTCCCTAGGGAGGGAGTTCCAGAGGCAGATAACTATATGCTACCCAGTTGTTTCTAACCATCATTGTAAGTAGTTTCTTACTACTACAAGGAAAGTTGTTTGTAGGTTCTGCTGTAGTTGCAGTTTCCTATATGTGGAGGCTACTAATTTAATTCAGAATAGCCATGGCTAGCAGTAGTATACATTTAATCCAACATGGGTGCAAATGGGTAGCAATTTGTCTGTTGTGATGATGGAAACAGGTTCAGTGCTTTCTCTTAATCTTAGTAGGGATGTTATTCTTCAAACTGTTTCTTTTCAAAATCAGCAATCAATAATTTCAGCATTTTTCTTTCAAGAAAGAAAGGGTCCAAAACATGCAATTTCAATAGATTGTTCGCAATTGGGACTTATTCTGTGCAAAATTTGCCCATTGTTGTTATGAGTAGAAAACATAATTTTCTTCATGAAGAAACCCATTTTCTCTGTGCACAATAATATTTCAGCACCACAATATTAATTGTGGTGTGAATTTTATTTAGTATTAAGTACCTGTGACAGCATTTTCTGTGCAGAAAACAGCATTTTCCACAGGAATTGCTATTTCGGCATTTAAATATTATATACAAAGAAAATGTTGTTTCCTTGGCAGAAAATGCTGTTTCTCCACAAAATACTCAAGTGCAAATTTTTCACAGAAGAAAAGTGCATTTCTCCTAGTAGTAGTATTGAGGCAGTGAGCCTCCTGTTTTCAGTTCTGATCATTTCAGTAAGAGGGCCGTGTCTCACAATATGAGAAGTGTTTCAGTCTTTCTGAATTCTACAGCTGAGGCTGAAACAACCTGTCAGACCTGCTAATCACTTACTTGACCATATTTTCAAGGGTACAGTCATATGACAAGCTGAACTCCCTGTGTATGCTGGAGCTTTGTTTTTATAAGTCGTACTCATAAATTTTGTTTACATATCTAGAAGCCTCTGGGCTTTTGATTAACTCCTCCTTCAGTGTTTGCTCTTTCACTGCAGCAACCTTGGAGATTAATCTTGCAAGACAGCCTACCTGTTCTCAACCATTGCTGCTTTTTCTGGAGTCTAAAAGTAGCTGTGATCCTGAGGTGTTCAGATTGCACTTGAAGTGGCATGTCCTTAATTTTGAATACATAATTATGACTAATAAATTGCTACTTTGAAGTCATAATTGACAAGTGCATATGTGAAAGGACATCTCCACACACGCACACACACACAAACACAACATGCACAAAGATGGAAGGATGTGTGATATAATGGTGCATATTCCATCCGAACAACACGTGGACAGGTTGTGTTTTAAAACTCTAGCCCACAGTGATGTAGGAAATGATATTTGTGTGGGAAGACAAATACCATATTTGTGCTTCAGAGGCAGCATAGTTCAAGTCTTTTGTGTATATAAATATGACACACAAAACTTCTTTTTGTGGTATTGTCACAGGCTTTCACAGCCAATATCATTAGGGTGTTGTGTAGTTTCCTAGCTGTATGACCATGTCAGTGTAACATTTTTCTCCTGATGTTTCACCTGCATCTGTGGGTGACATGTTCATTGGATCTTCTGAAGATCCTTTGAAGATGCCAGCCACAGATGCAGGCAAAACATCAGGAGAAAATATCACTAGAACCAGGCCATACAGCCAGAGATGGCCCTAAGTAATTTTCAATGGTAAGCAAACAGTATTTTGCCCCCCCCCCCCACCAATCACTGATATATATATATATATATTAGGGCTGGGCAACCACGGAAAAATTTGTTTCTAAACTCGATTTTTAGGGGGTTTTTGCGTTTCGATTTTTAAAAGAATTCCGAAATATTCCTTAAAAAATTTTCGTTATTTACGAAATTTCGTAAATTACGAATCAATTACGAATCGATTTCGAAACAATTACGAATCGATTCGTTAATGGCGGGCGCGATAGAGCAATACGCTAAAAAAACCTCCAAATGGGACAGGAAGCTTCCCTCTCCCTCTGTTGTTGACTGTTGGTGTGATAATTTATTTTTTTTTTCACTGAGAAAACAAACAGCAACCCTAAAACTTGCACCAGACATGCGGAAATAATAACGAAACAATTTCGAATCAATTACGAATCGATTTTGAAACAATTACGAAACGAATTGAAAAAATTTGTTTCGTTTTTTAGTTGCTCCTGAATGGTTCAATATCGCTTTGTTATAAAAAAAATAACGAATTAATAACGAATTACGAAATTAACGAACGAAATCGCCCAGCCCTTATATATATATATATATATATATATATATATATATATATATACACACATACTGTTTGTCGTGGGAGTTGTGTGTGCCATATTTGGTTCAATTCCATCATTGGTGGAGTTCAGAATGCTCTTTGATTGTAGGTGAACTATACATCTCAGTAACTACAACTCACATATGTCAAGGTCTGGGCAAAATCAACTATACTGCAAATGCTTACTTTGCGTAATGGGTTGAGCCGCCCCTGCACACAGCCCAGAAACCACACAAAACCCCAAGACTTCTTTTCTATAATACAGGGTTGTTGTTTTTAATGCCACTTGGAAGTTATTGTTTAACAAGTGCTTTTTGTGCATATGTCCTTTTTCCTCACACTTCACTAGAAAGGGGTTCAGACAAGCTATGAGTTGGTTAATGTTTCCAAATATAAGAGCTTAAAATGCATCTTGAGAATAAGTTTATTTGAAAATAGGGTTGCAGCCTGCAACTAAGCACTTAGAAAGATCTTTAGAGAAAAGAGGTTTATGAACTATAATCCTGCTTAGTTATGTGGGAGTTGTAATGCAAATAGTTGGAAGTTTTTTAACTAGACACTCCCTGAAAACTGTCACTGTATGAAATGCACTGGAAGAAATAAAGCTGATGTCTTTAGTGAAATATTGCCTCATTGTGCTCCAACATTGTTTTTTCATACCAAAGAGATTTAGGTTATTATGCTGTAGAGATTAGGGAATAAAATATCCCCAGGAAAGTGAAATATGGTCTCCAGAGTTATCCTAGTTAAACCCTTAATGGTGTGGGTTGTGCTGAAGACACAATAGGTCTAATGGGTTGAGGAAGAATATATCAATGACTGGATTTCCCATCTCTTCAAATGGTTAGCAATGATGGCTTCCCAATTTAGTCAGGTTTGGGATACGAGGTGACAGTGGGCAACAGGTCAATTTCCCTTAAAAGAGAAAATGTCAACTGTGTAGACTTTTATTCAGCACTGAAAATTAAATCACAGTGCTACAGTAGCTATTTGTTTAGAATGGCTTTAGCCTCATCTGTTAAGAGGTATCATAGAATATTCTGATTCTTCCTCGGCGTGGGGGTAGAGCATTATAACCTTTGAAAGTTTTTTCTTTATCTCTTGGAACTCTAATTTTCAGATTTGCTTGAGCTCTCTTAATACGTCTTTGATGGAATGTTGGAGGACTGCCATAGTATAGGGAGCAATTGGGCGTGTCGGAATGAGAGAGGAGGGAAGGAGGTCTAAGGGAAGAGAATGTGATAAATCCGGTAATAGAAATAGATCCCATCTCTCCTTTGACTTCTGAAGTCTCTTCTGAATTCTAAAGGGTTGATCATTCATTTACATGGATGATCTGGTGAATGTTAAGTTCCAAAAGAAAAATTATACTCAAGGAGTCTAGAGTCCTCAAGGAAATAGCTAACCTGGCATGTAATGCTAAAATCTTATTGCGTGGTATAGACAAGAGGAATAAGTTTTGGCTTAGCTTCTTCCAGGTATGTTCTTAGATTGGTTTCAAAGTTGGCCAGAGAGGTGGAGTGATTTTATTCTATCCGTCTAACATAGATTGGATAGTTATCAAAGGGTACCATGCATTGGAATTTCATGACTCCTATTCTAAATTACTTCCACAATTTTCTAAATTCACTTGTGCACACCGAGATCAAGGTTGCCTCTTCAGAAGCTGCTGTGCCACCCCGTTGGTATTTTCTTGTGTGCCTGTCTCTCTTACAGAGGTGAGCTACAGTTCTTGAGAACATAACTTACTCTTCCCTTTCAGCCTAGCCTGTTTTTCCCTTTCATTGTCTGATGCCAAAAGAGTAATGCTGTCTCTTGACAGAATTCATGCTGCCAGGCACAACGGGAGTCTGACTGCACAGGCCCAGGCCAATAATTATTCATGATGCAACCCATGTTCTGTTCCAGAATTTGTTTTTATAGCTCTCATTATTCATATGGTTCATGTAGCTTATGTCTGACAATGAAACTGGCTGAGAAGGCTTGTAAAAAATAACAACCGCTAAACCAACAAGCTTCAAACTGAACAGTTAGATTGTCTCTCTTAATAAGATTGAGCCCTACGGGTTAGAAGTT